CCAGTCTATTCGCTATCATATTTTGAAAAATGTTTAAAATTAAGTGTTAAAAATTGTTCAGCCTCTTACTTTTTTTTTTTTTTTTTTTTTTTTTTTTTTTTTTAACAGTCTTTACCTAACACTTCCGTCTTCTTGATTTAGGCTGGCCACTGCAGGAAGCTGTGTGTCTGCCTCTAAAAAGATAATAAATGAGAACACTGAACACTGTGATAAATCCTTCAGGGCCAAGTACATATATTCTATAAAACATGAGTGGTGGTAAGCAGAGACCCACATAACTTCATATGCCTTGAAGCAAGGTGTGAGCAAAACGGAAGCTCCCATCACAGTCAGCGGAATCACGATCAATCCCACCTCCAGAAGGAGACTGATACGACTTTTCTCAAATGTCTCCTCTTGAACCTGTCTACAGGTGCCCATTTTCCTCCGATGCAGACGAATCCTATTCCAAGAGTAACATTTTCCCATTTATGACGTTCAAATTAAGCATACTTACAAATATTACCAGCTTTGAATGATGTAGCAAGCAACAGGCTTGCTACAATCAACATGCAAAAATATGACATCATTATTTTTAATGCCACTGCTAAGTAAGATATCCAAGTTTGTACTAAAATTTACTAATTTAATGTAGTGGTTACTGCAGCGTATCTATAGTCTAGTCTTGCACAAATAGACAAAAAAATGCAGATTGTTCCACCCCACAAGATCTTGTGAAACTACTTTTGAAACCACTACAAAATGAAAGTGTTTTATTAGCCCCACTTCTTCTAACATCATATTTTTGTAAAATTAAACTACAACACTGAACTACTTTTCACACAAATCCCATAGGCTAAAACTATGAATGACCAAATAATATATAGCTCCTTTTTCTGCAAGCCTGAACCTCTCCATCATGTTTTATTAATAGCTAACATTCAAGTAAGTTGTGTCACCTGCACACATCTGGTTTTTACAGCTAGATATTGAACGAAACTTCATCTGAAAATCAATTGAGGAAAACAACAATCAAGGACTACTCTCGGACAACTGAAACTAAAGACAGATTTATAAAGCAGGAAGGGGCAAAGAACAAAAAAAAAACATTCCCAGCTTAAAAAAGGCATAGAACAGTCATCTGAGAAGTGGCCACAGTGCCTGACTCCCCCGCCCACATAACACAACAGCGACTGACAAAGCAATTGGTGCACAAATTAAACCAAAGGCTAATGTGTCCTTCCCCCAATAGAGAAAAAAAAGATATTTATATCTATATTTAAAAATACACACATACCATAAAAACAAAGCTAAATGAGCCCTCTGATTTTAGGAGAGCTTGTCTATCCATCCGTTAAAAAAAAAATACAACACCAAAATGAACACACACACGAACAAATCAACATTAAAGCATCTATTGATACTTTTTCACTCACTACTGAAAAGGAGGAAAAAACCTTATAAAAAAAGTGAACCGTTTAATCTATTTCTTACATAAAAACCCAAGAGCCCAATATCTAGCTGTAAAAACCAGACTCCACAGGCCAGACTACACAGCCTGGCCACTGTATAGCTAAGCGTGCCAGTTTGTGTGGCCAGAAAGTAGTAAAAGGCAGAAAGAGGAAGCAAAACCTCGGTTGCCTCTGAGCTTGCTTGTCAGTGGACTTAAAGGAGGGGTGAGGAAAGTCCGGACTTGTGATAAACCTCAGATGATTTCTAAAATTTGATTTATTGGGTAGCAGGAACCGTAGGCAGTAGCTCAGTACAAGCACACTTAAAAGTAGAGAGAAATTTAGAGGAAGTCCACCTCTATCTATCACACCCCCTCATGCTCCAGTCTTCCTAAACCAGGACTCCACATCCATACTTTCTCTTTATTTTCCACCCCAAAAATTAGAGCCCATCCCAGTCCACTCACCATTCCTGTAAGGTGATTAGGAGAAACTGTGTGGGGAGGTACCTGAACTGAAGGGTAAGCATCTCCGCAGAGACAGTTATAGATTATGAGTGACCACTTGTATATGGCACTTCACCCAGTGGTTTGTATAATCACTCCCACACAGCAAATTACTTTCAACATACCATCCACAAGCAGTTTCTTTGATAACCATCAAACTCTATCATACATAATAAACTTAGTTTACTTGGCAGGAGTCAACACTCAAATGTTTTGAAAAACCTGTCGATCACCAGAGTTGCATGTGCTAGGTACATATTTAAGAAGTATTGCTATAAAAGCTGGGGATCATCATCTCTCCTCCAGTTACATGCTGTTATTTGGAAACCAGGTGGAGGTGCCACTACATAAATTCAGGAAATCAGACCTGTGCTCTAGACGCATTTCACTGGAGCTTTGAATTGAGCACAAGTAGGAGTTTCAAAAACTGTGTCTCCTCACATACCAAATAAGCTACAAGACACTCAACACAGCACTTTAGATTAGGCACTACAATTTGGTAACCTGAACTTTTGTCATTAAGGCTCCTAGATTGTAAGCACTCAAGTAAATTACTGGATCTAACCCAGAAAGTCATATAAAATCAATATAAAAATTAAGTCAGGAAAAAGTATGCTTTAAGTTTATAACCCACCTTATTTCAGGCAAACTTTCCTGTGCAGGCTAGCCCTACAGAGCTGCTGTAATCTGCAGATTTCTGCTCTAGCAGTACTGTGTACTAATTTAGTTCACGTGTCTTCTATTCTAAACAAATGGAAGCTGTTTAAGAAAAGCTATTTATGTCAAGATTTATACTACCTAAAAAAGCAGTGAAAAAGGCTTACCACTTCAATAAAAGGACACAATAAGACCATCTGGGTCAATACAGAATATAATGGTAAGAGCTATTTTTGAGTAACAACTCTGCAGGTGCACTTACTTCACAATGACTGCCACACTTGGGAGTTATTCTACAAATCGGCAAGCCCTAGAGATATGTTATTATTGCTCTCTGTTTATGAATCTCAATTTAAACAGAAATTTTACAGATTGGGATCACTGAATGGAATTCTAAAAACATTTCAACTTTTTATTTGAAAGCTGAGAGGCCCCAGTGTGTGTAAATACTAGCCAACAGTTACATTTTTCCCTTAGTTTTGTAACTTAAAAAATTCAAACATCTCCAGTATTTTAGTTTTGACACTGTAATAGCTACACTTAGATGTAATAACGGTCATGAAGTAGACTTCTTTAAAGACTTAGAAGGCTTCTCTTAAAACTTCTTTAGTTTTAACAGTCCAAGTAGAGCAAAAAGAGGCATTATTTATAATATATGATTATTCTAAGGCAAAGAAACCTGTAATTACTGTCTGAGGTGGATAATACAAGAAATTAATTTTACTGTTCTCTATAAATGAGCTTTCTATGATACGATTTGTTTTTCACATATACAATTTCAAGTTCCCTTTCAGATAAGAAGCAGCAGTTTACATATGCAGCTCTAAAGAAAGTCCTTGCTCTTTAGTTAATACCTTTTCCTGAGTCTTCCTGTTTTAATGTAAATTAATTACTACTACCAGACTAAGGGAAGAGAGAGTGTCAAGAAACATTCAGTCAAGTAAATCACTTTTTTGCTACTAAAAAATAGCAACATTTTTGTGTTTCACTTCAATATAAATAAGGCAGTCCTGAATACTACGATACTACAACAATAGCAGTACCCCTGAGATTATCTAATTTTATCACCTCAGCATTACTCGAGGGAAGCCAGTGGAAATGCTATACCACTAAATTGTTGATTAGCTCAGTCACACTAATCCCTGATGTAGCATGGCAACCAGAAGAACATTAAAATTTGCTTCATATTATTGGTGAAGAGCTATTACTGAAAATATTCACATCTACATACCCTTTATACTTGCACCTGAGAGACACACAGTTAGTAAGTAAGGAGATTACAATTACACTTCTTTCAATTCAGTTAATTAGTATAGAATGAGGATTTGACTAGAAGATACAGCTTAAAAATAAAGTTACTGCTACAACACATGAATGAGCAGGACAAAATGCATGCATAGGTACACACACAAACACAGAGAGGTTTAGCAACTACTAGAAATAGAAAACAGGATTAAATTGAGATTTCTGCCATGCTATTACCTCCTCCTTGATCTCTAAACTAGGTTCTATTTTAACCTCATCTGTAAAAATGCCTGACAGCTGCAAACTATTTCTAATCTCATTTTCTACTTTCATCTTTCATTTGTATTTCTTTCTCTCCATTCCAGGTTGTTCGCTATTCTTTACAATCTTATAACAACTATTTAATAGATCAGTATAGAGCTAAAGGGCACTAAAAATAAGGTTTCCAGAAGTTCTATTATTGGCTTTTAGCTAAGATTATCTTCTTTGGCCTTGTATTTAACTTGGTATTTTTCACCCCATTTTCAGGACTTCTAGACACTATTGAAATACAGTCATCTTTTCCTTATCCCTAAGTGGATTAGTTCATCTGAGCTTACATGGTGTAGCTGCCTGCAGTGCTGTGCCCTGCATGTGGGAGGCATGCACTTGCACCAAAACCTGTCTTTCAGTATAGTGTGCCTCCTTTCTAAGAGGCTTTTGAGTATAGCTTCAGAAGATGCATGAACCATACACAGTCTTACAGTTTAAGCCTCCGTGCCCTGCATTAGTCATGTTTTCTCACCTTATCCCTCCATTATTCCAGGCAAGTAAGAGATGATTGTAAACAGGGGCTGTCTTTGTGCATGCATCAGACAGAACTCCAAACTCCTAGAGGAAGCTAAATAGCTGGTTTCTATTTGTTCTCTAACAGTAAAGCCTAAGCATTTGTAAAGTGAAAAGAAGTAGTATCTGATCTACTTGCATCTGCTAGTTTTCAATCAAACAGTAATTCACTGGTAGCCATCCAAAGCTGACCAATAAAACATGAATTTTTTTTTTCCTGTCTTCAGAATAGCCTTGAAGCATCACCATGCCAAAACTGATAGCCTCACATTTGCCTCAGCTACCTATCTGCAATATAGTTTTGTAGTGGTTAAGTAATTAGATTTTTTTTAAAAAGCAACTTTATTTCATCTATTTTCTAGTGCATTAAAAAGTAATAATAAAACATACAGAAAGGTTGGATGAAAATCCCTCTCTGCTTATACTGTCATTGTAAGGTTCTGTGGCTAACCACATTTCTCACCTAGTGGAATTTTAGCACTGTGGAGTCCAAACATTTGACTGTTTCACGTTACATTGGTTTTCAGTTCTGGCGTATGCTTTAGGCTTCCCACTTCCTTCTTCAGGACATTAAGCAAAGTTCTAGAACTGTCCAAAATCTTCATGTAAGCAGCTTCAGTTTCAGCAAGAATTTTATCAAGCTCATTCCGTGAAGCTACCTTTTGGGCCAGGTTTTCACATACACACTCCAGTTGTTCACTCAGGACTTGGATTTCATGCTGGAGTTTATTTTTTTCCTCTTCTGCTTGCTGGATTTGTTTGTTCAGTTCTTCTTTTTGCATACACAAGTCTTCAATGCATTTCACTAGCTCATTATTGTAACCCTGAAGAACAGCTCCCTGCTGAGTCATCCTCCACTCCCCTCCCTGAGCTCTGCCACTGCTCCCTGAAGTCCCCTCTCAGCAACCACCTTCTGCACTCTAAAAAAAAAAAAAAAAAGACAACAAAAAACAGAAAGAAAAATTATAGGAGAGTTATCATGAATAATGCTATGCTAGCACAGACAGAGCCACGGGGAAAGATGCTCTGTTTAAGATTAACATGCTAGTTCAGAGTTGTGCCACATCTCTCCCCTTTTCAGGAAGGGGGCAGGACAAAATTCGGCATCTACACTATACCTTTACTGAAAACTGGTCTCTCATATAATACCCTCATAGCAATGCTCAACTCTGGTATCAAAAAACTTCTATTATATTTTACAGTATCTTCATACCATATGATGCTTTATACCTCAGACTTCGGGGGTTTGGTCAGAAATAACCAAGTGACCCTTTCCCAGGAGAAGGCTCAGCAGTCACCACCAGCGGCGGCATTCACTCGGCCCCTCATGAAGGGGATCTTCCTCGCAAACTGAGCGCCAGGCATCCACTCCAGAGAACCCGGGGCCACCTGAAGCAAACCGATCTGGCACTGTTGGCTACTCACGGGCACCGGGATGACAATTTCACGCGTGTGCCGAGACGCGGACGAGCTGCTTGCTCGCC